AGCTAGGGGTTTTGATGGGCTTCCCAATGTGTATTTTTTCCTGTTTTTTCCTTTTTCACCTTTTTCCTCTTTGGGGGGTTGAGGCAGTCCTCCTCTGAATTTGCATTCCTCTTTTTGTTCTTTCTCTTAATTGGTTTTGAGAGATAATATAACCGTTTGAGAAAGTTTCTGGGATTTTACATAACATATGAAATGCATAATTAGAAAGATTCAGTAACCCATGTATTTGTATTCCCTGTTTATTTTTTTTATTGGAGATGGAGGAATTCTGTTGTAGATCTCACATTCCTTTTTTTCTCATTATTGTAATTATTTTTGGAGAGAATATAACTATTGGAGTTAGATGCTAGGATTTTAAATAACATGGGAAGTGCATTATTTAGAAGGGTTCAGTTACAAGCAAGCTTGGAACTAAGTGCATACTTTGTGAATTTTGTGGCAGTAGGATTTAGTTTGTATTTTTGATAAAGTAATTGTGTCTGCTCATTCATATGGTTTGTGCTAGTGAAACAAAGTTTGTAAATAATGAAGAAGCTGTAATCTATCAAATTAATATTTTACATTTAGGAATCAAGATACAGAATAATGTGCACTGGAATAACAAAATAAGTCAAGGTAGCTTGCATCTTTATTATAATTTTTTTTGACGTGTTCCTTTGTTTTTAAAAAGTGAAATCTTAGTGTAGAGTTTCTCTCAAGTTTCTTTGACTCATCTTGTTCTCAGCATATTTGTGTTGTTATTTTTTACTTCTAATATAACATGACAACATATTGTCAGAGTTCCAAATGCAAAACCTGGGAGAGAGTCAACAGATATTGAAATATATGGAATGCAAGGAATTCCGCCTGATGTGTTAGCTGCTCACTATGGAGAGGAAGGTATGCTTTTTATTGTCTTACACAAGTCATATCTGTGCAACACCTCAATCTTGTATTTTGTGTATTTGCACTAGTTCAAAAGTTATATCATGCTTACGTTTTCTCTGATTTGAACTTGAAAAATAAGGGAAATCTAGAGCAGTATGAGAGCGTCTGTTCACCATTTCATGGTGCTTTCTGATTCATAGAAAAGGAGAATGTGTTTATCTGGTATTCAAAAAGAACTTTTTCTAAACAATAACCTAAGTAGAGAGCACATATTGTGTGGTTAAGATTATTCGCTTTTATGTTTTCATTAACCTGCTTATTTGACATTAATGTGGTTTGGGGAATCTGTAGTAAGCCTATCGTTTCTTTACTACTTGTAAAAATGACATTTGACTCAAAATGGGAGATATGGTAACCTCTGTGCTAGAATAACTTAAATGGGGTATATGTTAATATCCTTATCCACTTTTCATATGATTTTGAGGTGCTTCACAAAATAGTATAATGGATTAATGGTTGCTGGGTGCTTTATGTTTGCATGTTTGTGTAGTTATAGCTGAGTATCATGGTTTGCATGTTAATTCTTTTTCTCCCAAACCCCCTTTCCCAAAGATCAGCCAGAAGGAGTGACAAAAATTGAAAAGGTATATCTTATTTTAGAATCTGATGCACACAACTGTTATAAATGTTCCTTCATTTGATATTTTCTCATATTTTTATTTTATTTTTCACTTTTCTATTACTGGAAGTTTCTGATTTATCCAAAGTTTCTCCTCGTCTTCATTTTAAATAAAGGATACCAATTTATCAAAATATGTCTGTTTTAGTCTCTTTTCATTAGTAGTGTGTATATCACTGTTTTTTTTTTTTTTAATAATAATATTATGCTTAAATGTTTATCCACTAAACAACTGGATGAATGCATTTGGTAAGGATTTTCTTTGACTCTTGTTTCAAAGAGTTGTTTGTTTTGTTTTATTGGTGGGCTCATTTGATACTATTTTTATTTTTTATTTTATTTATTTATTTATTTTTTTGTAGAGGAAGACACTCCTTCAAAAACAGCTAAAGTTGAAATTCCATCATCCCAAACGGTCGGTGGCATGATTCCGGGATCATTAGGTGTGGGGTTTCCACCTCGGCCAGCTTTGGGCACGATGCCACCTTTGTAGGTTCTTGTGTCGCTGCTCATATTGATTCAATTGTTGTTTGTGTCTTTGACTATGCTAAATCTTTGGTGATGCAACTTCAACAGTAATGCATTGGTGTAGTATGGAAACATTTGAAAATGAACCGAGGAGATTTCTAGAAAAAATATTGGTTCTTATCACCAAGTAATGAAAAAATTGAATTGAATACATGCTGGATAGGAATTTAGAAAATATAGTTGATTTGTCTTGTTATTGCTGTACTAGCCTGAAGTGAACATATGTTCTTCAAATTTCATTTCCCTCACTGGCATCCCTTTTCCCTTTGAAATAGTTGATACTTGTGTATTTGATTAATATACCATTGGTTCTAAGTCATTTCCATTTTGGTTGCTACATTGACTGGTATTTTGTTCCTGCTTTAAGTAATGAGAAAACGCTAATATTTGTTTCTTTTCTTTTTCATACATTTATAACCATTGCCATACTGGAGTGAACTGTTTTTCACTGGATTTTTCCATCATGTGATGCAGTTATAATCCTGCAATTCCTATGCCTCCTGGTGGGTGGCCTGTTTTACCTCGCCCACAACCTTGGTATCCACAACATCCAGCTGTGTCAGTTCCACCTTCTGCACCAATGTCACAGCAGCCTTTGTTTCCTGTACAGAATGTCAGGCCGCCTGGGCCACCTGCAACGTCCCCTGTGCTTCAACCATCAATGCCAATCACACCGCCTGGAATGTCTGCAGCTTCTCCTGTTCCTATATCTCAACCTCTGTTCCCTGTTGTTCCTACCAACAATCTTTCTCAAAGTTCACCCTTTCCTGCACCTATGCCTCCAAATAGCATTGCATTAAGCTCTTCTGCAGAACTTAAGAGTGCAGATCCACACATGGGCGGTAACTCTTTGGCTATTAATAGCTATCTTGCCTCTGGCATTCCAGGTAATTTTTTTTTTTTTTTTTTTCACAGTTTTCCTGCAGTGATTTTGATCAGTATTTGTTGGTACTGGTTAGAGTGGAACTATGACTTTGTGCCATATTCTTTCTTCCAACTGGAAAACTGATTTATAAATGTAAATCTTTCTCGTTTAGTTCCAACAGAAGCCCTGATTTAAGCAAGAGAGTTTGTGGGTATCTTAGCTTTTAGCTGTTCACTTGGCAACCTTGTATGCCAGTACAAAATTTGTTTGAATTTTCAAATTCTATTCATTTTATATCTACTTCTTTGCCATCTGGCTTTCAATGGTACCTTTGTTTATTTTGTGGTTGCCCACAGTTAACAAAGCATAGTTGAGATGCATGTGAATTCAAACCTTAAATATATATATATATTTTTTAGTATAAATATGTTAGACTGTGTATTTTATTTAAAATGATGAGATATAATTATATAAATAGGCTACATATAGCATGTTACAATAAAATATTAATAATGAGGGAGTGGAAATGGTTAGTGTGGTAGTTAATTTGTAATTGTAGGGAGATTCGAAGTGCTGTCTTATACTGTAACACCCAAAATCCATTTGGACTATGCTAGTCTGCCAAGGTCATTTGGATAGACCCTGTCCAGACTATGAGAGGGTGGACATTTTTTTTGTCCTTAAAAAATGGGTGTGGGCCCCCTTGTTTGAGAGATGATCTGGCTAGGGTTTGTGCAAATGACCCTGGCAGACTATCACTTTTCAATCCATAATCTCCATTTCTTTCCTCATTTGATACAATGCTTAGTTTTTGTAAAAAAATTGCTTAAAATAACTCCTACCCATTATCCAAACATTTTCCCTCTGTCTAGAAAGCTCAAAACTAATTTTCATTATCAAAATCTCCAACTGTTTGACTTAGGATTTACACCATCAAAAGTATATGTTATTATGACTGGAATACTAGGCAGAAATTCCTTAACAATTGCTTATGTACACAGGCAAAAGATCTAAATCTGGAACTCGTACTGACACTAGATTGATTATGAACACTTTATCCCTCGTAAAGCGGTGAGCACAAGCAATTCCTAATGTGCCAGCTGTATTTGGAAGAGACTGCAAATTGGTTCAATGTTTAGATTGTAGAACTTGTGTATCCCTTATTTTCTCATGGCGACCAGCACAAATAAAAAGTAGGAATAGTCTATTAAGAGCATGGTTATAACCCTTCAGAGAAGATTATATCTTCTGGCTTCGTTTGCAGAAGGCGTTTCATTTGATAAAGTTGTGGGTGACAATTGGATGGGAAATATGGCATTGTATTGGCAATCGACTCTGAGTGATGGAATATTTTCTCAATGATTGTAATCGTGGATAGAGTTCTGTATAATTTATGGTAGCGGAAGCTCCTGCCAACTGGTAGGAGATTATCCGTTATGAGGGTTTCCGGGTGAACAACTAGTAGACCTAAATAAGGCTAACTTAATCAGACTATATCTTCCGTTATCATTGGTAGTCTTGCTCTGTCTAGCTGGATTTATGGTGATGAAAATGGATACCTTGTGTTTCTATTCTCATTCTGAGAAATAAAGAGTAGTTCGGTTTTTTTCAGATAAATGATCACTTGAGGGCTTTTTGGTATTTCTCTTATATTATTATCTAAGTGTTGGTAATTGTCTATGCGTTAATGCTGGAAAATATAGGTGAGAATCTGCACCTGTCTTGTGCTGTCCATATTCTATCATTCTCTCTTAGCACATGCTTTTTCCCCCAATTGTTTAGCAGCTGCAATATCAGCAAATTCACATTCTTATGCCTCTGGTCCAAATACGGGTGGCCCTTCAATTGGACCGCCTCCTATAATTGCAAATAAGGCTCCAGCTACACAGCCTGCTACAAATGAGGTCTATTTAGTCTGGGATGACGAAGCTATGTCCATGGTTAGTAGAGCTTTTCTGAAAGTTGTGTAAGATGCCTCCTCTCTCTCTTTTGGCTGGGGTTGTCACACTTGTGAAATTTTACAGGAGGAAAGAAGAATGTCCTTACTGAAGTATCAGGTGCATGATGAAACTACCCAGGTAAGTTGTAATTACATAGTACTCAGTTCTTTCATATGGATATGAAGTTGAGTTGCTCAACTAACCAGGTGCTCGTGCATTGCTTATTGTTTACAATTTCTCATGTTTACTCCTTGTTTCATATTTGTAAAGGTACCTGTATATGTACTTCAATTTGCTTTGCTTCCCCTTAAGAACACGTATGAGCAATTTGCTCAAAGTATCTCTCTACATTTTCTTTATCTCTTTTGATGTAATGAAATGTTTAATCTATTTTGGTCCTGTTGGCAAGCAATCCCGCCAATTTTGTGGTCAACAAAGGTTCAAGTAGGTATCCTCGTTATCTTCTCTGTAGTAAGTAATTTATTTCTCACAAGCATCCTGCAATCAACTCCAGGACTCTTCAACCTAGCATCGTACAACATTAAGATCAGAGTGTATGTATTTACTCTTTTAGAAATTTTATTAATTCCATTTCATGAATTCTCCTTGTGCTTGATCGCAATGTATTGGGGTTTGGGTGGAACAAGTACACACCAAACAGATTTTTGCCCATTCGTATCGTCATACAATATTTTTTAAGATCGAACTTGAATTCGAACCTGGCCCAGGTCAGCTCCTTTTGCTGAGTTCGGTATCTCTTGACTAAAAAAAGTTATAATATTTGACTGCTGATTATTTGATTGGCGGTAGTCCCTGTCCTGATATCCTTTTAACTAGGGGTTTATCTTACAGATGAACTCAATTGATGCTGCAATTGACAGAAGGATATCAGAAAGCAGGCTGTTTAGTGACAAAGGAAATGCTGGTCGCGTGGCGTTTTAAGATGGGGGCTGGTTCTAGTCAGGTGCTGCAACAGCTGGGAATTTTTGAACGTCCCAGTTCAAATATGCTGCTTCAACAATTATCTGTTGTATTATTTAGGAGGAAGTCATGCACAAGAGCCATTTTTTATTGTGAAGGACATATTTCTCTCTATTTTATCTTGGAATTATACAGTCTGATCAGTTGTTTTAGTATTAAATTTGAATTATTACAGACTTGGGTACCTTCAACATTCTCCCGGCTATGTAGTTTGATTTGCCTTGATCATCAATTTATTTTGAATCACAGCTGATGCTCAAAGTTATACCTTCTCTTCCCCTTTCCACATTCTTTCTGCATGAAAGTGATGTTATTAATGTTGATGTTGTGAGTGTGATGGTTTTATCTTGATATCACTACGTGCTAAGGTGTTTTGTTTGCTCTCATTGGTGTCGCCAATATTTTGTCCTGTGTGTTGCGTCAAGTGATTGGTTGTGTTCTCGATAGAAAATATGTGGGTGCCATTGTAACTGCGTTGCTTTCATGGTATCTGCTCTTGTGGGATGGCGAGGTTACTTGCAATTACCTGTCGTACCATAAGGTCGTGTGATGTACGGAGGATTCTTTCTAGCGTGGTTTGGTTCTGATGGTAGTGGTAGATTTTGTTGATTTGGTTATAACCTGGTGGCTGAAAATGTTCATGTGCTTGTGTTGGCAAGCTACTACTATTGAGACTGGTATTAAGAAATTTTAAGAAGGTTCTAAATTGTTATGAACTTCTTCAATTTATGTTTTGAAGAAGGGGATGTTCTTTCTCGATAGTGTACATGTACATATTGGTTTATATACATATGATGATGTGAGAAATAGTTGGGTCAGAATTTCTTCAACCAATTATTAAAAAAAAAAAAATTGTTCCCACTTTCTTTTTGACATTTCATATGTATGTAAATTATTATATAATTTCATTATGTAAAAGTAAAATCATTCGTTCCTTTATTTCAGAGTCTTCAACATTGTGACCTAAATTTCTTCCCCAAAAGTGGGAAGTTTTCTTGAATATTATATTGTGTGCCAATTTGATAAACATCTGACTAGAAGAATACCATACCTTTCACGTCTTAATTGTCACTGATCTACTTAGATATTCTTTGTAGTATGCCAATGTTTTTTGCAATGGACAAAGGTGGGACATGGCTCACAAGAGTTTGACTAACCGACCGATAATCCCCATTTGAGGCATTGGAGTCAATTTGAGATAGTGGAATAGAATATTGTCATTCATGGTCGCTCATTACAGCAGTTGTCTTATGTAGCATACATGTGTAATGTGATTATTTGATGCATTAGTCAATAAAAAATTACCTCATTAATGCATCAAATAATCCATGTCATGTGTATGTTACGTAATCGTAGTTGTAGTGAACGATTATGAATAACATTACTTGATAGAATATATGGCAAGCTGAACATATACAATAATCATGAAGTTCTACGAGTCTACAAACTGAGGTGGCCACATGGTGATAGATTCCCACAGATTTTTGGTTATGTGATGAGAATAATACTAACAGAGATAAGATAAGCAACATAGCATCTCAACTTCATTTATACCTAACATGAAATAAACACTAAATATTTTCGAGGCGTGCCAACTCGATCACGGGGGAGGGAAAATGGTCGCTTGGGTCATTAGTTGGGTTTTGCTTTGAAGAGAAATAAGTTTATATGTTAATTGAAAAATAAGACAAGATTTTATTGTCAATGTTATTTGTTTTTGACTTTTATCTTTGAAAGTTTCCATGACTTGCGTACATGAGGGAATGGTTAGTTGACTTAGGCCATGTTTGATAGGGCCAAATTTCATGGAAAAATTTTCACCTATTTTGTAGTGTTTGATAGCAAAATTTTACATAGAATTTGGTTTTCTTGGAAGCTAGAATTTTCTTGGTTTTCCTTGAAATCTGTTACGTTTTATTATTATTATTATTATTATTATTATTATTATTATTATTATTATTATTATTTTGACAATGGAAACAAATTATATCCCTAATTGTAAAAAATATATTTTTCTTTAATTGACAATTTTTATGTAAAACAAAGTCAAACGAACACCAAAAGATAAATGATTTTATTTTATTTTTTTATTTTATTTATTTATTTATTATTTTTATTATTTTTATTTTTTATTTTTTTGCAATGGAAATAAATTTTATTTTCAATACCAGTAAATTCTATCTCTTTAATTGACAATTTTCATGTTAAATAAAGTCAAACGAACACCAAAAAATACATTTATTTCAACATTTTCAAGTGAAAATTATACCAATCAAATACAATAATCGACAATTCTTAGTAAAAAAATTTTTGGGCAATTTAATTTCCTAAAATTTGTTTTCTTTTCACTTAAATTCTATTTTTACAATCAAACGGACCCTTAGTTCCTTTAATTATCTATTGTCTATTGGGAAAATATTAAATAATTTCTTCCATTAATTAACGTTAAAATTAGTTTAAAATGTTACCCTTTATTATCGTGTTTGAGCTTTTAGAGGTGGAACTCTTGAATTTTGAGGCCACAAAAATGCTAAATTAAAATACGACATAATTATTATGTTTACTCTCAATATAAAGTTGACAAAAAGATTTAACATTTGATATTGGATGGTACTAATAATTGTCTATGAAAACCAACAATGTGAAGGCTACTCAACAGGTATTTACGTCTATATTGAGTCGTCGACTCGCTCTACGTCCATGCTAGACTGTTGAACCCTATGAGTGCTTTACATCCATACTGGGCCGTCAACACCCATGAGCACTTTACGTCTATGCTGAACCGTCAACCCCATACAACCATTTACCACCACGTGGCCGACCCACCACTTAGTCATGAAATTATCAATAAATTGGATGGAGATCGCTTGACGGCTGTCACAGACACAACCAACTATCAAATAGTTGGAGGCCCCCCACTTAGATCGTGGGGGTAGTGGGAGATGTACGTGGGACACCTGGCACCGTAATCGCCCAACATTCACGTGGCTTCAGGCATTTATAAATACACTCAAGATGAAACAGGTATCTCTCAGAAGAATTTTGACTATCTGAATACATTCTTTGCTTTTTCTCACTCAATATTAATTCTCACGACAGAGGTAAAATGGAGGAAAAAGTCTCGCTCTTATTTTCTAGGTAACATTTGTTTATTGGAGTAGTAGGAATACCTTGCGCTGCCAAGAGAGTACGGACCTATTGTTTCACAACAACTTCATTGGCGCTGTTTGAGGGAAACTCCACTAAATAAAAAAGCTAGGTCAAGAAGATGAACAAGAAGTGATACGCGCTTTGATGGGGAATGCGACGGAGACGGAGTTGGAATCTGTCGCAAGGCGTCCCGATCTACCACCACCACCTCAATATGTAACACAAAGCCAATTTCGCGTTTTGGAGGCTCAGTTGGCAACGATGATGACTCTCTTGCAAAATCAAGTGTAAAGAGCCACGCTCCTACCGTCAAACTTGGCGGAGGTCGTGCAACCGCCTTAAGGGGCACCCACAGAAGCCCCACCTATCATCCAATCAGTGATGGCAAACTCGGGGGCTCCAAGGGTAACAGTTCTACTCGCACTGCCCATGGTAGACCTGGAACGGAGGATAGAGGAAATAGTGAGCCCAAAGATAGATGATGCACTATCCAGAAGGAATGACAAATGTAAGCAAATGGTTTTGAAAGAAGATCCATTCGCACTCGAGATCATGGTAGTCCCTCTATCCAGGGGCTTCAAGTAGCTTATGATAAAAGCATATGATGAAGTCACAGATTTACTTGACCACCTATGGACCTTCGTTGATTTGATGAGACTCTATGCAACACCTAACGTAGAGATGTACCCGTCCTTCTTCCCGATA